ACCCCTGAAGACTTCCATCAGCAGGGAACGGTGGACAGCACCAACAGCTAGGCTCTTGGTGTGCAGTACAGTGTCCAGACCCTGGGAGCTGTGTGAGGCGGCTTGGGTCTGCAACCTCTGGCATGTGGCCAGAGACACGGTGCACACGCCAGTGTAAGGAGCAGGATCTTTGGAGCCCTTTGGGTGGCTCAGGTCCCCAACCTCCGGCACGAGGCCAGGAGCTCGGTGCAGAAGGCACCGCACGTAGGGTCCGGGAGTGGATCGAGCCCCGGTGCTGTATGAGGCAGCCCGGGCCTCCAACCCATAGCAAAATGTTGAGTCCAGGGAGCCAGGCAGTGTTTGGGCTACTGAGCCAGCAGGCAGGGCTGAGCCAGAGGCCCCAGAAGCCCTGCAAAGCAGAGCCCTGTTCCAGGGGACAGCGACCCCACCCGAAGTACAGGCGAGAGAGCAGCTTGGTGTGGAGGATGAGGGCCACCCTCCAGGCCTGGGGAGCCATGAGTTGTGGGGAAAAAGGGATTCCCACAGGGGAGGGGGAATTAGGGCTCTGCTGGGACCCCCTTTTGCTATTATTCACCTGTTGTTTATTTGTATTGTGGCTTACTTATTGTTCACCTATACTTATCTATAGTTTATTTGTCACATGCACACTTGTGGGGACGTGCCCCTCAAGTCCCTTGCAGCTGTACTTTTTCTATAGTTTTATGAAACAAAAAATGAGGTCTTCTAGGGGATCAAAAGTTGGGGAAGGGAGGGAGGAGGAAAAATGGGTGGTCCTATGCATATATTGCAGGGCACCAATCTAGAGTTGAATGAACTGGAAAACTGCATCACTTTGAAAGAAGCTATCCTTTGAAGCCAAAACCAGGGCCTGCTGACAATGCAGTGTTATGAGACAGAGCTAAGAATCTGTGCAAGCTCTATTAGCATACATAAGCTCCGCTGTTCCATACCCTTTCCCTGAAATTTCTTCAAACATCCTTATGAACAGCAAACACTTCCTGACTCAATTAAAGAACACTGGCTCATGTTGTTATATAATTAGTATAGACGTTTGCGTTGATGCAGCAATTGAAAATCCAAATATTTAGCAATGGGGTTGAAATGGTCATCTTCCTGTTTTCTGTATGCAAATATGGATTCATTGCTACCAAATCCCAAGGTATACTCCTTAAAGCTATACCTAGGTCTTTTTCATTTTAAAAAAGACATAGGGGTTTATGCTTTAGTTTAGACACAGCTCAAGGGATGGATTCTTTGTCCATCAATTACTAGGTGATTGACTCTGTTAATGATTGAGAGTTGAGGTTACAGCTGTTTCTTATGTGAGCTGTTTAAAGGTTCAGTTCCTCACATGGTACAGCTGTAGGATACAGACCCTAGTGTTCAAATTTCTCTTCTTTTTTTTCTCTTACAAATAGCATATAAAGTCAAGACTGTTACCCTAGCCCACACTAGAAGCCTGGTCAGGTGAGATATGATTACAGAATCAGAGCCTTAATTAGTAGATTGTTTTACCTCCACAGTAATATGGTATAAGGAAGGTTATTCCATAGATTTGTGTGGTGAACAGCAGTGTAACGTTGTGAGAATTATATGCTAAACCTAAAGAACAATGGTAAATACAGTTAAATCCTCTGAGTATTTTATGCACTTGTCATGCTCACCATAATGTATTTGTAAAAGAACCAGTACTTACTGCATGCCACTTACAATACATCAGTCTCTTTCCACTACAGCCTGAGACCTAAACTGTAGCAATATTGATTCATTTAATCAAGGGACTCTTGGTGTTTGTTCTTTGCTGCTGTATAAATCCAGAGTACACCCACACCCTGAATACTGCATGAAGTTCTTTCTACCTCTTCCTCCACAGCACACATACACCTCCACAACACACATACACCTCCAAAAGAATACAGGAGAAGTAGAAAATACACAAAAGGCAACAAAGATGATCATGAGTATGAAAGGACTTCTATACAAGGAGAGACTAAATAGGCTAGGACTTTTCAGTTATTGAAATCCACAGGAGGGATAAAATAAGAGTCTATAAAATTGTGACTGGTGAAAAGAGGTAAATAAAGACTTCGTATTTGCTATTTTTCAGTATGCTAGGACTACGGGGCATGGAATTAAATTATTAGAAAGCAGGTTTGAAACAAAGAAAAGGGAGGTATTTTTCAGACAAAGTGCAATTAACTTGTGGAATTCACTACCACAAGATGGCAATTTAACCAAGTTCATATTCATGCAGGATAGATCCATCAAAGATTATAGCAATGTGTGAAACCTACACATTAGACTGTATTAGACATCCAAATGCTGTAAACTCTAATGGAAGAGGGGCAAAGGACAGGAGAGTCTGCACAGATACTCTTCCCTGTTTCATCCACTGTCAGACCCAGGATACTGGCTTAGATGAGCCTATGGTTTGACAAATGCAGCACTTTTTATAGTTTCATGAATTAATCATGCTTCTCTCAAATGCATTGATTATTTTCAGTTATTTAGAAAATACTTTCTGCAAATAATTCTTGGCCTGTAGAATCTTTGTGATCAGTTTTTTGGGAAAATTAAAGTCACACAAGACATAAGCCACATTGTTTGCTTCCATTTTCTGGCTGGATGAAATTAACTCTCAGAAGTAAGATTCAAGGTTGTGAATTTAAAATTTGCTTTCTATGAATATCCTGCAACATTCAGTGGAAAGATGCTTTAGCACTAAACATTCCTGCCTGAAATTTTGTCCACTCGAATATTCACAACTAGAGATATTCCCTGGGAGAGATTTTCAACTGACTTAAAAGCACCAAAAGTCAAAGGGATTTTTGCCATGTTGGCATGTTTGCAATTCTCACCTGCTAGCAGAGCTAAGGAATATTTGTTGCTAAATATGAAAGAAAATTCATAGAACATTTTTGCCAGGTTGATTTGGGTCCCTATTCCTTCTACCTCTCTAGCTGCCTATCAGCCATCTGTTTCTCATAATATAGAGACGCTCTATTTCTCAGCAACCCTGCATGGAGTAATTGCAGGTGTTCTTCAAAACTGATTCATGCTTCATCTCCCAAAAGCCCCAGTTGCCTGTGCACAAGTGTTTTATGACGGGTGAGAAAAGTTTCATTTAGTTGTTCAGAGAGCAACCAGGCCGCCAGGAGAGTCGGAATGGTCAGGTACATTGCTATACAGAGAAGATGTGGACACTCTTAAGAAACAGTGTGGCAGTACCTAGGGGTTGCTCAAGCCACCTAGGCAAATACCCGAAGTTCTCTGTAATTCTCTCTCCTTCTGTGTTGCTAGGATATTTGTCAACACAATGAAAATGGCACAGTTCCCGGGTAGTAACTGAATTTAATATTAATATTCTCTTCTGTGGAAAAGCAAGGCTGCATTTCAGGGGTGAGTCAGAGCTGAACAGAATTTGTTTTATATGTGAAGTCTTTTATACTCAAGGTATGTCGAAGCACGGGACTATAAACTTAATGCCAACCGCTCCAGAGCTGTGTAGGTAGCCACAGCGGGCATTATGTATTAAGCAGCAGCATACACAGCTGTAGAAGCAGTTTTGCTGAAAAGGGGAAGGGGAGGAAGAGGGAGGGTGAGGAATGTTGGTCAGGGTTATCTTCCATGGGCAGTATTTAACACGTGCCATGGTGTCTGTGCGTGTACCATGGCCAGAGATGGCATTAGATCAATTTGCTTTAAGCAGCCTGTGCTTTTCCCCTGTACCTGACTCCATACACCAGGTAACTTCCTTTCTCTTCTCCTTCCTTCTCAAAATTCAGCTAATCCTACAGTCTATCCAGCATTGACACCTATGCCCATGCTGCCTTCTCACTTTCTAGGTAAAAAGATGGAAAATGACACAAAACATAAAAGCAGCAACTTTATCAGCTTTGTGTGTAACACCCCTCCTTTCCCTTGCTCCTCATTTTACCTTTCCTTATATTATGTCATGCCAGTTTAATTTATGCTGATTTAACTCATGACTTCACCAGGACTTCTTGTGGGGGAACTGCTATACAACCTAAGAAAGAGTGTCAAAATCTGACCTTAGACTGCAAACCCTTTGGTACAGAGAGTAAATCTGTAAATCACTGTACACTTACCTATGGAAAATAAGGATGCATTTAGCAATTCAGACCACCCACACTTGCCTGTGGGTGAAGAGAATCTGGATAGAGAGAGAGAGAGAGAGGTTTCCATTAGCACAACAGAGTATGAGGTCTTCAGGCTGTCTAAGTCCATTCTGAAGCGGTAGCAGTTTGCAGTTCAGTTAAGGAATCAAAGCATTTGCACCACAACAAGACAGACAAACAAGAACTCTGCTTTTGGTTCTTCTCTTTCCAAGTACTATACTCTGAATCCATCCCAGGTGGGTGAAGCAGTCCAGTTCTAATTCTTTCTTTATGCCTTTTCCAGTTGGCTGTAGACACTGAGCTCCAACCACCGGGGCATCTGAAAAGTCATGAGTGATAATTGACATACAGCCTTCTTTTCTTCATGTGTTTAGGAAACCCTTCTTTTGAGCCTGAGGGCAAGGATGGGTGAGAACCAGAAGAGGAATCCTGGTCGCCACCGTTCTCCAAAACTTCTAGGCATACAGGTTCCTCCATCTGCTCAGAATACCTACTTATTGAAGGTAACCAGACATAGGTTATCTGTATTCCATTCACTGCCCTGTGGTCCACTCACTTCCCTAAGATGAAACAGAAGTGTCCTTTTCACAGAGTTTAATCGTGACTCAATTTTACATAGCATATAAGAACCTATTCCTTCCTTAAATGAAAATTTCAATGAAACACCTTAGCATTAATGTTGTCATTCATTAAACCTTCTGCTGGAGGGTGCTGTTGTGTTAGCATTGAGGGAATGGAGGGGCACAATGAGTCAATGGCCTTAGCATAAGCTTATCATAGAGTAATATTAACCTATTAGATAGGGTTTGGAGTGTAGTGCTCTCACCTTTCTTGGTTACCATGGCAAACACAATAAGAAACTGTATGGAAATTTGGTAGCCAATACACAGAATAAAAAGACCCAAAACAAGACATTGCAATTAGGTAGTTACATAAAATAAACTTAATCAAAACTCATCAGTGCCCCAGAGAGGAAATATTTGTTAGTCTCTTAGAGTAAGTCTACACTGCATAATTCAGTTCCATGCAGAGATACCCCAACTGACTCCAAGTAAGCTAGTTTAGCTACTAGAAGCAGTCTATCTGTGCTAGCACTGCTCTTGGCCCAAGCTAATCTATTAAGATCTTCAGAAGGACTAATAGCTGAAGGCATAGCTGAATGCCACACTAGATTGTCTCCAGTATGTGGATTAGCTTGTGTAGGGAGAGCTTGGGTTCCTCTGCATGACAATGCATTGTGATGTGTAGATCATACTCGTTTCTGCCAAGCAGTCCTTCTTAGTGTGCAGGAAAGTTCTGTTCTTCAGTTCTGAGAATAACAGTTGGACACCACTCAGATAAACAGACACAAAGGGAGAAAAGAGGCTGTAGAAAAAAATGAGGAAAAATGGCCTCATATTACTCTTCTCAAGATCCAAGGTCACTCTTGGGTGGTTACTATTGGCTGGCACGTTGGCCAGAACAGCTATTACTCCAGCTATCTTTTCTGGTGTGAGATGTCAACCAAGAGCCTTAATCAAGTCCCTTCCCTTTACTGGACTTTCTGGCAGATCAGAGCCACATAAACTGGCTTACTTCAGCCTTCTGGCAGTGGCAGTGTCGGGATCAGTTCAAAAATAAGAAGAGCAAGAGAAAGAATGATTTAAGGCAGTAGATAAATTGTGATGACAAAAAGAATACATTGGGGAAGAGAAAATACAGTGGGGTCTTGCATGTCAAGCCAGGGTCCTTGCTGATGGAGTCGTGAAAGCCAGGCTGCTAGACTGGTGTGCTGAGGTCAGAGTGTCATATGATGCCATGACCTTTATGACATGCAAACAAAAGACAGAGCTGCCAAAGTGACACAGACACCTGACAGCCTTTCTCTCTTCCCCATGAATCATTCAACCTTCATTCTTCTCTAGAATTTTTTAAGGCCCCCAAAAAGAGAAGTGGGTAGAATAGCCCATTTTCTCATTATTTGGTTCACCAATTAGTTTTTATTTCTAACACATCAATTTTAGTTCAGTAATTTCTGATCTCACACTCCTCTCATTTACCAGACACGATTTCCACAGTCTTTCTGAATCGTTTATTTGTACTAATTTGGTCCCTTTCTTTTCCATTTGCCCCTTTCCCATCAATTTTTGGTGTTACAGGTGATTGGAATATTTGACATATCTTTGGTAATTTTTCCACTATTGAACTTGCAATGGATGAAGGAGGCCTAATAGGCCCCAGTTATTAAAGCAGAATGCTTCTCAGGAACCAGATTCAGTATGGTAACTAGCAAGCTAGCAAAATAATATGTGCACCACGACCTAGCAAAGGGCTGAGCCATGAGAAGGCATCAGACTTAGGAAAAGGAGCATCTGACTTTAAAAGGTTAGGGAAACTACCCTAATAGCAGGCAGCTAGAGGGTCAGAGCCTTTCCCCAGCCCAAAAAATGGTGATATGCTCTACCTTGTCAATACTTTGACACTGTGCAGGAAGAAATGAAGTAACAGTATAACACCCACGAGCCTTCAATGTTGACAAGTGCAAGGTAACGTACCTGGTGAAAAATAACCTCAACTATATGTACATAATGCTGAGTTCTGAACTAGCTGTTATGATTCAGGAAAGAGACTTTGGAGTCATTGTAGATAGTTTTTTTTAAAACATCAGCTCAGGGTGCAATGGTGATCAAAAAAGCCAGTAATGTGTTGGGTATCATTCAGAATGGAATTGGGAACAAAATGGAAAACATCCTTATGCCATTATACAAATCCACGGTGCACCCACATCTTGAATATCATGTGCAGTTCTAGTCTTTGTGTCTCAGAAAAGATGTAGTAGAATTAGAAAAGGCACAGAGAAGAGCAATTGAAACGATCAGGGGTATGGAGCAGTTGCTACACCAGGAGAAACTAAAAAGGCTAGGACTCTTCAGTTTGGAAAAGGGAAGGCTGACAGGAGGATATGATAGAAGCTTATAAAATCATGCAGGATGATGTAAACAAGAAACTGTTTTTCACCAGGGCCCATAATACTAGGATCAGGGGGGACCTGCTGTAATTAGTAGGTGACAGGTTTAAAACTAACAAGAGAAAGTACTTTTTAATGCACCACATAGTTAACTTATGAAATTCATTGCCACACGACGTGGTGGAGCCTCATAGTATAGCCAGGTTAAAAAAAGAACTGGATAAATTCATGGATGATAGATCTATTAATGAGCATTGAACAGAATGGTTGGAGAAGTTTCCTCTGGCATCTCTAAACCAATAATGGTGGATACCAAGGTGGATACTGAAGAGGGAATAGATCACTATAGAGATTTCCAGTTCAGTGCTCACCCTCTATAGCAGGGTTGGCCAACCTGCGGCTCCGAAGCCACATGCGGCTCTTCGGAAGTTAATATGCATCTCCTTGAATCTTTGCACAAGCACATGATGTGATGTAATGGCTATGGAAGCTGGTCAATGTGTGCTTGTGCAAAGATTCAAGGAGATGCATATTAACTTCTGAAGAGCCGCATGCGGCTCCAGAGCCACAGGCTGGCAACCCCTGCTCTATAGCATCCATTTCTGTCACTGTCAGAGACAGAATACTGGACTAGACGGGCCACTAGTTTGACCCAGTACAGCACTTCTTGATCTGGTACAGAAGTATGATAGATCAGTCTAACCTAAGTTGCTTAAGTCTGATACTACATCCATCCAGGTCTATGTTAAACCATGCTCCACCATTTTTAAACCAGTCTATGTGGACTGAACTTCTGCTTGGCTAAAGGTGCAGACTTATTGAAAGACTCCCCACAGTAGAGGATGGATCAGTTTTGAATCACAGATTCACAGAAGTTTAGGGCTGGAAGGGACCTCGTGAGATCATCGCATCCAGCTCCCCTGCTCTGGGCAGGAAAGAGCACTGGCGTCAAATAACTCCAGCAAAGTGTGCGTCCAATCTCCTTTAAGTCAGGTGTAAATGTAGCCTTACGGTTAACCAAGTGTAGCATGCTGCCTTGCTCTGACAGGACCTAAAGTGGGGACAGAAGTGTTACCTCTGCAACATCATGAGAGTTTATGACAACAAACCTATGAGGAAAATGCTGTACCATCAGTATGTGCTCAACCTCCAGCACCAGAACTTGCTGGGTAAGTGCCTGCTGGCATTGCTATGCACATCAACAGCTGAAAGAAATTGGAGCCTAGAGAATAAACCTAGGGTTGGAGTGGGTTATGATGAGGAGATATTTATGGGCCATTCAGTACATCAGAGACCCAAGCAGGAGCCTGGACTAGGTTGCAGGCAGAGTACAAGAGATTCTAGGTGGCTGAGCTCTATCCTACTCAGTGGGGACCACTGGAACAACAGGAAGCAAAATGATGTGGGGTTGATGTTATTTACCTTATTCAATCACAGAGTCCTGTCCCTTTAAAGCACTACTGATAAAAATGTTAAATGCATCCAGTCACAAAATAAAGATCTCCAGTATCAAAATAGGATGTCAAATTTCCCTCAGGTCATTGCCTTCAGTCAGCCATCATATTCTGCATCCTTGGCTGTTCTCAAAGACTTGGAAGATTAGTTGACCTTTGCAGCACATTGTGAAAGTCAGCAAAGTAGGTTCTGATGGGCAGTGAAGCTGTCATGAAGGCCTTTTGTAGAAACAGACTAAAGCAGCAGCAGCACTGCTGGGTGCAAACAACTGTGATAGCTGAACCTCCTTCTTTTGGTCACAGGTCAGGCAGTATCAGGTTAGAGGCAGTTTCTTAGAAAGCTGTGTACCAAATGAATTAGGACTTTGCAGCTCATAATCAACATCTTAAATTCCACTCAGATTACCAGAAGGAAATGATGATCCATAAAAAGGAGAGATTTGAAATGTAGACTGGTTAAGCCAGTACCCCTAATGTTTCAGATTTCTTCACTTCTTTCAACCCTAGCCATGGCAGAGTCTGTATCACATCTCAGCTGAGACAACAGCTGTCATCAGAAGGCTCTGGAGCTCCAAATGTAATTACAAATGTTATCTTCTGACTTCATAGTTCATTCATGACAAGAAGTGCTTCTCATCCCATCAGCTTTTATAGCCCCACACTGCTTCAGCTAGTAATACTATATCATTGTTCAGCTAGTTTTATGTGCAGCTTGATGCTTTTCAAGTGTGCAGTCTCCCATCTCACTAGTGATTTCATTAGTATGCAGCCTCATTGGCTGTCAGCAATGTTGCAATTAATCAGGCATGTATGTGTATGTGTATGTATGTGTGTGTGTATGTGTATGTATATGTATAAAACATTTGATTTCTTCACATTCTCCTCATCCCCTTACCCAGGTCATATTACTCAGCAAGAAGCCAGATCTTATGTCTCCTTCCTGGATCCAGCTGAATAGATGCCCCTAAGGAAGGTCTCAGATAAGAACAGTGCCTCTGTGATGTCCAGTGTCAAGATGAGATGAGCAGGCTATAGTTAGATCTGGGCCAAAGGAGGCAGCATAGGCAGATGGCTCAGTGGGGAAAGAGGTCTGGTATTTATCTGTCCTTTGCTGAATTTTTGTGTTAGAATTTGACACACTCCCTGGTAGAATAAACTATACCACACATGATCTTCACCTGAGTCTCCACCAATTCCACTGGTTTATAGGGATTCTTAGTGACTGAGTCCAGCTAAATGAACTCTTACAGACTGGAGATCTATGTTTCTATATGAAAAATATATTTCAACTTTTAAAAGTTTGCCATTCACACTGATATTTCCAAGCAGCGTGTTGGTGGGAGAGAGATCAAAGGAGCAAGATCTGTGACAAGAACGTCTGGAAAACACAGAACATGAAGGTTTTGGCTATGGTAAAAAGGTTAAGATACCTGATGTAGTGTCTGAATCCAAAACAAAACAAATAAAAAAAGATATTTGGGATCCATTTCTTTGAGCCTTAGATGACCAGGTTTGACCATTTGATGACCAGGTTCTGACTGACTTTCCATATAGAGATTTTTGGGATTTGACTTAAGATTTGGGGATGGAGGGGTGGGGTTTGTTTTGTTTTTTTTTAATCAAAAGTCATAATTTTTCTTTTAAGTAAAAGCCTGCATTCTTCTGAGCAGCTCTAGTTAATCTGTTAAACATGGAGATCTATTAAAGAAAAAGCAAGGGAGAAAATCCAAATGGTCATAAGCATACTTAAGAGTGCCTTAAAACAGCAAACTAACCATCTGATACAATTCCTTACTTGCATTAACTTTGATTTAATTAGTGATTAGTTCTAATTATGATGCAGAAATTAACAACCTTTTTATATAAGAGTTCAGATAAAATAAATGTAATTGTATTCAACTTTATTGTACTGAGTAATGCATAGGAGCCTGATCCTATGATGAACCAAGCACCCTGTCTCCTCTGGTGAGACAGCAGGTTCCTCAGCATCACTGAGGATGAGGCCTTCAGAGAGATCACAGGTGATAGGTAGGAAGGGACGGGGGAGAGGAACATGCTACCCCCTCCGAGATTGGCCCCAACTCAGCACTGCTCAGGACAGGGCAGTTTTTTTTGTCGTATGGGCTGGCAGCGTGTTGTGGGAGGAGGCCACTAAGCTGCGGCACAGAAGTATAGGAGTGGATATGGGGCTTTTGGCCTGCTCCTAGGCTCCCCCACAAATTGTGCCTCCCCAGACTCAGGAGGTACCAGTCACCCCTGAGAGAGATGATTTTTTTATGGTTTCACCACAAGTTTCAAGCCTTGGAAAGGACCACAACTTTGTGAAGAGCTAATGAATTCTGTGTCTATACAATTATAATGGATTACTAAATGCATCAGAGCTGATGTAAATAAATCATTATATCAGGTTCATTTAGCCTGATTCCTACCCTCAGTTGGCTTGTAATACAATCCCAACTCTGAAAGCCAGCCATTCCTTTACAATTAGCTTGATCACTAATCAAAAATGGAAGACATCCTGCCAGCTTTGAAATATGCCTTGACCTACTGAATTGGGCTACAGCCACAAAGCAATACTTATTTGTTTATTTAAAAAAAAAACACGTGCAAAGATCTAGAAGGCCCTATAATTAATTTTAAATATACACAGACTAGCCAGTAATATTAAATATGCAGCAAGTGAATCATAGCACCAGAAAAGTCCTTGCTACCCTATGGTCTCCTGGCAACATGTCTTTATTTTCCTCAAGAACACTTTTCCATCAAATAAATGGTTTACAGTAATCATATATATATGCTGTCTCTCAGACAATGTCTGATTACAAAGTAGATTCAGATATATTATTGATTCAGATATATTATTGAGGTCCACATTTACAGTACCTGGAATGAACTCTTGCAGGGCACAGCTCCATGACACAGGGGGGAAAGCCAGACCTCCATGCATTGGCTGCCATGCAGAGGAGCCACACTGCCTCCAATGTATGCCTTCTCCTACATAGTTGAAAAGAAAGGAGGCTTGAAATGGCCGACAGCTTTTCATTTCCTGAAAGATCTCAAAAGTGCTTGAAACTGAGGGCTAGAGTTTGCTCTTTGTGAAGGCACACACGTGACCCCCTCCGCCATCCCAACTGAAGAAACTGAGGATGTGCAAAGGTATATAGGCAGACAGGATTTAGCACAATGTATTTTGTGGGGGCTTGGGTAAACAAACTGCTAGAAGGGCTTTTATATGAGGACAGACTAAAGAAACTAGGCATATTACATTTAGAAAAAGAGATTTTTGAGGGGGGACATGATAAGACTACACAATGCTAAATGGTGAAGATATAAATAGGGATTTATTGTTTGCTATCTCTGACAATACAAGAAGTAGGGGTCATAAAATGAAACTAGTAGATAATAAGTTTAAACCTAACTAAAGGAAGTTCTTTTCACACAGTGGGCGCATCTAAATGAATGCATTTACTGCTCAGTATGGGCGTGTGTCTACCCATGAATGCCCCTGCCACACAGAAAATATGGCAACTTATGTCAACTTGAGCATAAATTTGATACTTACATTATGCAGGCATCAAATTTATGCCCAATTAGTTATTGCACAGTTATGCACGTGTAGATGCCTTACTGCACACTGTGTGTGTGGACTGACTTGAGACTAAAGTTAGTCCTAAGTCAGTCCACACACAACATTAATGCACTTTAATGCCTGCACATGTAGACGCCAGCCTGTTCCCACTTACTGCCGAGTGATTTACTGCACAGTAAATTTAAACCAGCATAAATGTATGTGTAGACACACCCAGTATGTAATTAAAGTACGGAACTCATTGTCAGAAGATGTTGTGGAAACTGATAGTTTAACTGGATTCAAAAATGAGATTAAACAAATTATTGGAGGAAAGTTAGGGATATAGCTCCTGAATCAGAGCTTCCTACACCCTAAATGCTGGAGGCTGCAAGTGGGAGAAAAAAATAGAAACCCCTCCCCCCTGGGTCATACCCAATTCACTCTCCCATTCAGCATCCACTCTCTGCCCTGTGTGACACAAGGTATGGACAAGATGGACTGTGATCTGACCCAATAAATGGCAGTTCTTATGTTCTTACATGTATTGCTGAAATTCAACCACTTGGAGAGCATAAGAGAATACAGCAACATTTTCAGATGCTATGGTCATAGATGCAATATTGAAACCTAAGTAGAATAGAATAGCAAAAGTTAGATGCCACTTGAATGTAGGAGGTAGAGAACTACAGGAGAAAAACTGGGGAAATAGTTAGTAGTGGTAGCCAGAATGGGGTATAACTAGGAAACTGTCACTTCGTTGTTTAAATTCTTCACTACTTTTTAAGTGGATTGTAGTGGAAACAATATGTTTCCTTCTGGATTTCTGCTCACTGTGCAACATTTTGCTTTCCAACATACATGCATAGCTAAAAGATGTTAAAATAGTTTTCTACTGTTGAGTTTTTAAAGAGAAGGAAGAATATTTGTCTGTGTTAGGAAGTTAACAATAAAGTACACTACAATCCTCGTTCACTCCACCCAGGAAACCGACCAGGCTCTACTTACTGATGTCCTCCAAGGATATTTCTTCAGGATACTATAGCTCTTTAACAACTGGAGAGAGATTCACACTGGGGTAACAATTCAGAGTTTCCTCTGTTTCTTCCTAGATAATAATCTATTACCAGAATGGTAACATATCGTATGTTATAGATTATTTTCCACAAACATTTCCTCTCTCACTAACGGGATTATATAAAAGTCAATAAAAACCAAAACCATTAATAGAATCTCAAGATGAATTTTTGTCAAGCATAACATATCATATCATTTCTGCAATATAATTTTACTTTATTACAACATATTCAGTGTAGCCAAGTTATCCATTACTATTGCTCTTTGGTATATTCTACTAATCAACTACTTTAACAAGCAGATCCTATCATGATAGAGTATGTCTGGTTTTTATAGCCATGTAAGGCTAGCCACTGGTTATCCATAGAAGGCCTACCCAGAGCACTGAGTCCAGGTTTGGTAGTGGGAGAGAGCCAAGAGTCATCCTATCTAGAATATTGCTCAGTGCAAGCCACTGGGAGGGCTTATGCCAGATTCAAGCCATGGAGTTGGTCTCTTTTTACATGTCAGTGAGTAAATCTGTCAGGACAGGAAGAAGAGACTATATTGAATCTGGCAATAGGCTGAGAACGTACTGTATAGAAGAGGAGAAATTCTCCGTTCCTTCTAGGGCAGTTTCACCATGAAGAATCAAGGTCTGAGGGTAAATGTTTAGTTTAGCCTGGAGCTGGGAAAGGTGAGCTTCAACATTTTCCAGCAAGAGTGATGTTGTATCAGAAATGAAAGGCAATTCTAAATTGTACCTGACTGGATCACTGAAATGAAACATGTTGTATCTGTATAGAGATGAGAAGTATAATACAAAAACCCAACACCATGTCATGCCTTTAGTTTAGGAACTCACCATCGATCTCCTGTGAGTTCTGCTTACATTTTGATGACAATAGGTATGTAAATAGATTTGACCTACGGGCTAGGGACAGACATTACACATATACCAGTTTAAGTGATCAGAAACTGGTTTAAACCTGTAACAGAAGAGATGTTCAGTGCACATAAACCAGTTTGAAAATGACTGAAACTGGTTTGAGCTAAAGCTGGTTGAATGTAGTATCAGACTTAACTGATTTGGCTCAAACCAGTTTGTACAATGTCTGTCCCAGACCCCTTGCTGGTTTAAATTAAACCAGACTCCCCTAGCATGCTTTCTGGGCTGGGTGGGGCTCTCTGCTCCACAGCAGAGATGGCCCCTCCCCTCTGCTCCCTGGCTGCAGTTCCAGCAGTCTCTGTAGGCATCTGCTCTGTAGGCATCTGCCTGGCTTCTGCTCTCCCACTCTTATCCCTACTCTCTGCTAAGCTGGCATTCCCCTGTCCCTCACAGACACCTCTCAGCATTAGCTAGCAGACCACACGCTGGCTACCTCCGAGCTGTGGCACACGGGACAAAGGCAGAATCAACAGGTAGCTCTGGTAATGTCCCTCTGTTGTTTTCTTAATGGGGTGATAAACAATGAGTTAGGGGTGATAAACATTTGCTGCTGGGCTGCTGGGGCGTGGGGGTGGACCCCTCCCTAATTATAGCATCTTGCCGGGGCCACGCCCCCCCACCCCTCAACTCAGCACTGTAGAAGGGAAAAGAGGGCTTCTAGCCTGAGTCACTGCAGGCATGTACCTGCATTTCCTCAGTCCAGAGAGAATGTCTGTCTGGTTACAAATTGGTTCAGCCTATCCAGATTAGACTAACCTGCAAAGATTGAATCAATTCAGGCTCAGGCTTTTGGAATGTCTGTCCCTAGCCACGGAGTCTGATTCTTTGCCCTCTTACCAATGTGACGCCAATGTAACTGAGTGATAAACGAGACCCATCATATTTAAACCAAACCAACCGAATACATTGGAATTAAGCAATTAAACAGGATAATATATTTCAAGAAATCACTGACTGTTTTATCCACCAAGAACAGCAGGAAATCATTTTATTTTATTTTAAAAATCCACTTTTTTATGAAAAAAGAATGTTTTAAAAACCCATAACAATCTGAGCAAATGCAAAAGGAAGTCTTTAGTCAGCACTCAGTAAATGGGAAAATGACTGATTTAAGATGCAGAACACATAAACTTTGTCTCTTTAGAAGTTATCAAAGCCAACAAACGATCTGAGGATAAAAGGGGCAATTAAAAAAGTACAAGAATGCAGTAGAATAAAAGAGAAAAGGAAGCTGCACACATTAAAGCAGGAATGGTTCAACTTGTTGTAGTGAAACATTATTTCAGAACTAACTTTAAATGCAATTTTGCAAATTTAGCACAAGTG